GCCCGCGAAGCCCAGCGCCGCCCCGGCCGGGGCCCACGGCCGACCCGCCTCGCCCCCCGCCGCCGCCGCCGGAGAAGGCACGCCAGGCCGAGGCGCCATCGCCGGGCCCGGCCACGCCGTCTCCATGGAGCCCGCGGAGGAGGAGGAGGAGGGGAGGCGGCCCGGCCCGGCCCGGCCCCAGCGGGAGGCTGCCGCTGTAGACGCTCCTGGGAAAGGGGAGTGACTCCGGATTCAGGAGTCCCTCCGCGGCACGCCTCCTCCCTCCTCCCCTCCCCGTCGCAGCGGCCTCTTTTTGAGCGCTGTCCAAATGGTTCTGGCTGGGAGAGTCCCGACTCGCAGTGTTCCCTCTAAGCTGTGGAGTCTTGTGAGCAAAAAAATCTACTTGGTGAGCCACTGGCATTAAAGCTGTGAGCAGGTGACACGGCTCCTGAATAAATTGGTTCGCTCTGGGGCCCAGCCTTCCTGAGCTGTAGACAGAAATGTGTGAGAGCTGGAGGCTAAAAAACTGTGAGCTAGCTCACACTGACTCAGCTTAGAGGGAACACTGGTGACAAGTTCCAATGCTCCCTCTAAGCTGTGGGGTCTTGTGAGCAAAAATTCTACTTGGTGAGTTACTGGCATTAAACTTCTGAGCGAGCGATTTGGCTGCTGCGTCAATTAGTTTGCTCTGGAGCCGTCCTTCCTGAGCAAAGACAAAAAATGTGTGAGCCGGAGGGTAAAAAACTCTGAGCTAGCTCACACTAACTCAGCTTAGAGGGAACACTGGTGACAAGTTCCAATGCTCCCTCTAAGCTGTGGAGTCTTGTGAGCAAACATTCTACTTGGTGAGCTACTGGCATTAAAGTTGTGAGCGAGCAATTTGGCTAATGCATAAATGAGTTTGCTCTGGGGCCCTCCTTCCTGAGCAGAGACAAAAATGTGCTAAAAAACTGTCAGTTGGCTCACACTAACTCAGCTTAGAGGGAACACTAGTCCCGAGTAGAGTCATCTAGCAGTGCTCCCTCCAAGCTGTGGAGTCTGGTGAGCAGAAGTTCTACTTTGTGAGCTGCTGGCATGAAAGTTGGGAGCGAGCCATTTGTCTGCTGCATAAGTCAGTTTGCTCTGGAGCCCCGTCCTTCCTGAGCGGAGGCAAAAACGTGTGAGCCGCAGGCTAAAGAACTGTGAGCTAGCTCACACTCGGCTTAGAGGGGACACTGCCTGTAGGTCGGCAGCAATGCTAACTCTACACTGTGGAGTCTGGTGAGCAGAAATTCTACTTTGTGAGCGACTGGCATTCAAGTTGGGAGCGAGCGATTTGGTTATTATCACATACATTAGTTTGCTCCGGAGCCCTCCTTCCTGAGCGAAGACAAAAACGTGTGAGCTGGAGGCTAAAGAACTGTGAGCTAGCTCACACTCACTCGGCTTAGAGGGAACACTGGCTGCCCACCCTAGCTGGGGTCATTCCTGGAGATTTGGGGATGGTATCTGGGGAGGTACTTAAGGTTCTCCTAGACTGTATGGTGTACCCCCCTCCCAATGCTGCCACTTTCTCCGGGGGAACTGAGCGTTTGTGATTCCAGGGGAACTCCAGGCGCTTCCTGGAGGTTGGTACCCCTACTCTTGAGTAGGGCTTCTTTGATTTACATAGCAGGTCCTCCTCTTGAGACACACAGAATAAAACTGGAGTCCAGCCTTTAAGACCAACGAAGTGTCACACTGGGTGTAAGTTTTCGTGTGCATGGTCAGGAAAGCAGATACCCAGTGTGGAAAAAAGTGGAAAAATGGGGGGGGGGGGGGACAGTTCCCCCCCCCCATTTTTTCCTGAAGTTTTTTTTTGTTTTTTCCCCAAAAATTGGAAAATTTGAAAAGAGAAAAGAAAAGAAATGATTATGGAACGTTTTATTTTAACATGACGAATAAAATACTTTAAGACAAGGTGTTCAAATATTTTCCAAATCATTTCTAAAAAATATGTATGGTGTCAGATTGATCTAATCTCTGTGTACTGAGGACAAGCAACTCCTAGGTTACAAACTGAACTCTCCAATGCAAGAACAAGATACATTTTTTCTTTAGGAGGTGCTGTCACAAGAAAAGAAAAAGGTTTCAGTTTTGTTTTTGCATGTGGGTGGGTATTCTGTTTGTCATAATTGTTTGGATACACTGTATTTTTAATATGCTAGTTGTGATCATTCCATGCCAAGTAAAAATGTCCATAGTCAAATGTTATGTTCCTAAAGTAACAGAATGACTTTCAATCTGGAAAAGAAAAAAGAAGTGCTAATGTAGCATTTTTTTCAATTTTCCCGAAAATTTCAGTTTCCCCCGGAAAAAAACCCGGTTTTTTTCCCGAGCTTCAAAATTTCCGGAAATTTTTCATCTCTAGGTATAATGCTGTAGAGTGCGCCTTCCAAAGCAGCCCTTTTCTCCAGGGGAACGGATGCCCGTGGCCTGGAGATCAGTCGTGATTCCAGGAGATCTCCAGCCACCACCTGGAGCTTGGCAAGCCTCCTCGGGAGTCACTTCTGTTTCTCCTAGAGTCCATGGTGTACTCTAGAGTTTGCCCCCCAAAGCTGCCATTTTCTTTAGGGGAACCGACCTCTGCCGTCTGGAGAGCCATTGTGACTCCAGGAGAACTCCAGCCTCCCACCTGGAAGTTGGCAAGCCTAGCGGGGTGGGAGGCAGGAAAAGCATTAAGGGGCTTATTAGTCTGGGAAAAGAAACATGACAGAGCAGGTAAGGGGACCTGGTGGCATTTTCAGATGAGTGAATTCCTCAGAAAAGCCCTGCTGGATCTGACCAGTGGTCCACCAAAATCGTTTCACACAGTGGCCAACCAGATGCCCTGGAGGTCCAGCAACAGGGCAGAGAAGCCAAAGCCGTCCCCTGACAAGAGCCCTCCTGGATCAGACCAGTGAGGGTCCATCTAGTCCAGCATCCTGTCTCACACACAGTGGCCAACCAGTTCCTCTGGAGGACCAACAACAGCGCATAGAGGCCAAGGCCTTCCCCTGATAAGAACCTCAGAAGAGCCCTGTTGGATCAGACCAGTGAGGGTCCATCTAGTCCAGCATCCTGTCTCACACACAGTGGCCAACCAGTTCCTCTGGAGGACCAACAACAGCGCATAGAGGCCAAGGCCTTCCCCTGATAAGAACCTCAGAAGAGCCCTGTTGGATCAGACCAGTGAACCAGTGAGGGTCCATCTAGTCCAGCATCCTGTCTCACGTGGTGGCCAACCAGTTCCTCTGGAGGACCAATAACAGGGCATAGAGGCCGAGGCCTTCCCCTGATAAGAACATCAGAAGAGCCCTGTTGGATCAGACTAGGGAGGGTCCATCTAGTCCAGCATCCCATTTCACACAGTGGCCAACCACGTCCTCTGGAGGACCAACAACAGGGCAGAGAGGCTGGGGCCTTCCCCTGATAAGAACTTCTGAAGAGCTCTGCTGGATCAGACCAGTGGTCCATCTAGTCCAGCATCCTGTCTCACACAGGGGCCAACCAGTTCCTCTGGAGGGCCAACAACAGTGCTTAGAGGACGAGGCTTTCCCTGAGACCAGTCCACACACTTGGACAAGGCCAAACATCTGTCTGCACCCCAATGTCACTCAGCAATGGTAAAAGCGTTCCGTGCGCCTTGGTGTTTAGTCATGCCGGCCACATTGCCACGGAAACGTCTTCGGACAGCGCTGGCTCTTCGGCTTTGAAACAGAGATGAGCACCGCAACCCTAGAGTTGGATTCGACTGGCTTTCGAGCAAGGGAACCTTTACATTTACCTTTAATGCTCCCTAAAACCAGAAGATCATCTGGTTCATCGAAATTTCCCGTACATTTAGAAGAAGAAGAAGAGATTGGAGTCTCAGAGCGGCTTACAAACTCCTTTCCCTTCCCCTCCTCACAACAGACACCCTGTGAGGTAGGTGGGGCTGAGAGAGCTCTGACAGAAATGGCTGTTTTTCAAGAACAGCTGTGCCAGGACTATGGCTTGCCCAAGGTCATCCAGCAGGTGCAAGTGAACGAGTGGGGACTCAAACCCGGTTCTCTCAGATTAGAGTCCGCGCACTTAACCACTACACCAAACTGGCAAGGAGCTGTTCTTTCCCCCACCCCACTCATCACTTACTGATAGAAACATAGAGCTGGAAGGGTACATGAGGGTCATCTAGTCCAACCCCCAGCACAATGCAGGAAATTCACAGCTACCCCCCCCCACTCCTCCAGTGACCCCTGCTCCACGCCCAAAGGAAAACAAACAAACCTGCCAGGAGCCCTGGGCCAATCTGGCCTCAAGGAAAATTCCTTCCTGACCCCAAAGTGGTGATTGGCATTACCCTGGGCATATAAGAAAGGGGCATGAGAGCAGAGAATTGGCTCATCCCTTCCTGCCCTCCTGCCTAAGTGGTGCAGAAACTTATTTCAAGTCCCCATTCCCCCAGTTGCTCCACACCCTTGGCCAAACCCTGACACTCAACCGCACATTGAACACTCACCACTTTCCTTTTCCCAGGCTAGGCCTCCGTGCAAATTCCCACAAGGGTCACCCTATTCCTCTGGACGGCCAACAGCAGGGCATACAGGCTGAGGCCTTCCCCTGATGTTGCCTCCTGGCTCTGGGATGCGGAGTACCTCTGTGGAGGTTCCCCACTGTCACCCTGCCTAGTAGCCACTGGTAGACCTATCCTCCATGAATCTATCTAATCTTCCCTTGTCAAGCTGTTTACTCCCATGGCCATCGTTACATCCTCTGGCAGCCAATTCCACATTTTAATCCAAGCTACTTTCATCAGATATGAGTAGGAATGGAGATTCCACCTTCTGTCTGGGATATCAGGGTTCAGGGATCTCCATTCCTACTTGTGTCTGAGAAAGAAGAAGAAGAAGAAGAGGAGGAGGAGATTGGATTTATACCCCGCCCTTCACTACCCAAAGGAGTCCCAGAGCAGTTTACAATCTCCTTTCCCTTCCCCTCCCCGCAACAGACACCCTGTGAGGTAGGTGGGGCTGAGAGAGCTCTTGACAGAAACTGCTCTTTTTCAAAAAGAACTCTTAACAGAGCTACGGCTTGCCCAAGGTCATCCAGCCAGGTGCAAGTGGAGGAGTGGAGAATCAAAC